AATAATGTGTATACCTACTCAGTTCATAAACAACTATGAGTGCTACTGAAATTATATCGTTTTCCTTAACTAAAAAAAATTATCAACCGTCATGCGGTGTCAAAAAAACCGAAAAAACGTGGACGGATTTAATCTAACCCGACCGGCTTTACCGAAAAAGCGCGAATTCTATAGTACTGGAACGTTTTCTGCGTTCTTTTCGATCCCGATCCCGGAATTTGGCTTTTCTTGGGTACACGAACGTTTACGGAAATTTTCGACGATTTTCGATTTTTGTATCATTCGGTTAACTCGAAGACATTTACAATGTCCAAAAAAACTTGTATTGGCCTCTTCTAGGCGTGAAAAATAATCGAAGCATTCTGACGATTTTTGAGCTTTTCACGAGTATTTGACATTTTCTATTATTTTTTTTTCTTTTAATAATTATTTAGTTTCTTGTGGCTAAGCTTTGGCCGAGCTAATAGACTTGGAAACTGTACACGGGGTTCGTCTCAAGTTGATTGTAAAGAGGTTATAAATAAACATCAATCGTAAAGTACAAGTATTTTTATAAACTTTTTGAAATGATATTTGGAAGAAAATCGTAAATATCACGGCATTAAATATATGCAGTTTGACGGAACTTGGCTCAAAATCGTAAACCGTCGGATGACGATTCACGGGTGCGTTCAGATAAAAATTAACTAACCTTATGTGTACTATGCGCTCAATTTTTCACCTAAAACAGTGGTACATCGGCCAGAGGTATCAGTTCTTTTATTTTTATGTAATGGTTTTATTTAATTTTACTATTAACGCGTTTTCTAATATTTTCTTACCAAACTATACGTATAAACACAATAATATTATAAAAAGAAATCCATTCCGGGGAAAGCTAGTTTTAGATTCGGAATGGAGTGAGGAACGTTTATGTTTTACAATGATTTTTATTTTTTTATTTTTTTACCGTAAAACAACTTTTATTTCGATTTTTAAGTGTAGCACTGAAAAGAAATTGGCCTGGGATGGAACATTAAGGTGCACATTTTTTGATTTTTCTTAGGGTTTTCATAATAAATTGGAAAAACACGTAGAAAAAACGGGGAAATTTACGAAATGTATCATTTACAAATCGTAAAAATATTACATCCTTTAAAAACACACACGTATATCCGAAATTCTTTCTTTTTTTTCGTTTGCAACAATTTATCGATGCATACAAATATACATTCAATTTCCCCTCTACTTGACTAACTTCTCATCTTCAACAGTGGCCCACCCATCGTGCGAGTTATTATTATTATTTTTTTAAATGTGCGCCTTAACGAATTTTTGCACGTTACTATACAAAGAAAATCCGGATTAGTCTCATTAAAATTGTTTAATAAAAAAAAAAAAACTAAATGCAAAATTTTCTTTAAAATGTTTTGGTTTATACCATTTAGAATGCCTTTTTAGATGTTCTGTCTTAAAACCCAATTTTAGAAGTCTTTTCGTTTGGCCATCATGGTCGGGAATTTTTCATTGTCTTTGTGTCTTAGGGTTACTCAGATCCGAAAACTTATAAAACCACCGACTGTGTTTTATATTCATTGTTTTAAATATATGCTGTATATATGAGACTTTAGTTGACTGTTACCGACCTCAGTAAAATAATAAAATATAATCATTCGTTATTAATTATTCCGGGAATTATTAAAAGACAAAAAAAAAAACTGTCAAATTTATAGCGTTGCGATTTCATTATTTAAAATTTGTACGCTTAATGTTTTCTACCAGAATTAATGCTCCATTATAAAAACAACAAGACACCTTTTTTGTTGCATTTTTTTTGTTTTTAGTGACCAAGAAATTTTTTTTTAGATTTTTTTTTTGTTAGCCTTTTATTAATTTAGTAAAACTGAAAAAAAAACATAGAAAAACGAATAAAAGGAACGAAAATAATGTTTTTTTATTATTTTGAATTATGTTTTATTTTTGTAATTCAGTTCAAAATATTCGTAGAGTTTAGAGACGTAAAACGTGAACAAAAAACTTATATTTGGCTTTTCTAGAGATGGTAAAACATTTGAGCCATTATGAACTGTTTATAGACATTTTAATTTAAGACGTAATTTTTATTTTTTTGGTACTCTGCGAATAAAATTGTTAAACTAAAAAGAAATAATTTGTACTTTGTAGTCAAGGGAAATCAAGGTGCCGTAAATATTTTTCGTTTTACTTATAATTTTCTTTCCACTTTTTTTCCGATTATTTTGAAAATTCCATGGTGAACATTTTTTTACCAAATAGAGAAAATCTTCTTTTAGAAAATGTGATACATTCTATGCATCGGAACAAGCATTCATTTTTTCTATAAGTTGTTAACAGATATAAAAAAATATACAAAACCACACATCATAGTAAAACCAATAGATCTCTCGGTACGCTACGATTCTAAAAATACGTCCTAGGATAATAGTGACGGATGCAGCCACTGTTATAGGTAATTTAATGTATACCTATTAGCAAAGATAAACCATTGCTAACGGAAAAATGAATCTGAACGGAGTTCGGTTGATAGTGAGACTTTGTCAACGGTTTTCCCGGTTTTCCTACGGTTATCCCGGTTATTCACATTTTCTGTGAAAATTCTTGGGAAAATTAAAAAGTATCCTCCCTAAATTACACTCCCAGTCAAAGGCCATAATATATTTAAACTAATACATATATTAATGCATTAATTATATTTTTCCGTTTTTCCTTTAGTTTTTTCGGTTTTTAAAACTCTATGAGACAACTGCTGAGAAAATCAAAAAATCACCTTCTTAAAGTACCTCCCCACATCGATTTCTTTCCGAAAAATTGCTATACTTTAAAATCGGAGCAAACTTACAGATAAAAAAAAATAATAACTTATTTTCGTAAAACCTTAAGCTTCTTTGTTCCACTCAGATTCTAAATTTCTACGAAAACATTTTAGATACGATACGGATAATTTTTTTTTTTTTCAGACTCGTGTCGGGTTGATTATTATATGACGGCCTCCGCGGTCGCGATCTCGGCGCGGAGACGGACGAATTTCTGGATATCGGTGGACGAAACTCGTGAATTAACCGATACATAATTATCGATACCGAATTTTTCAAAAACAAAAAATACATACACAAACTTTTTTTCTTTAACAAAAGATACAATCTACGCCAAGAATTAAAATACTTTTTCTACGTGTTCCGGTGCCGAAGTTAATGGTCTTTGTCAACCGTCGAGTCGACTATTGACAAAGACAAAACTAATTGTTATGCAACGCGAACCGGTAATGTCGTGTTACACTCGTCCAATTATTTCGAACCCTCCTCGTCGAGGGTTCGAAATAATATTTTGCGGCGCGCTCACAAAATATAACAATAATTTTAGTGCAGCACGAATTCGCATTAGCGCATTTTTGATTTAGGCCCCGCCGCGCTGTTTTGCGGTCGGTGGCACCCGGGGAGCGAGGAGGTTAGGGGTTATATACCCCCTCCCCATTCGCGATTTGCTTGAAAATACAGCGACTGCGAGCGTCATTAATTATTCGGCGATTTCGTCTTGAAATGTCATTCGTTTCGGCCGAGTGACTGAAGGAAAACGCTCGATTTATCGAACACGCGGATCAGAGAATTTTTTTTCGGTCCGGCTTTTAAAAGGTTTGTTTTTTTTTTTTTTTTTTTAAATGACTTTTCCCGCCGTCGTCTGTTCGGAAATTACGGAAAACGATTCTGCGATCGTCGCATTCACTATACACATCCCCTCCCGTCGTGAATTCCGATTTCGCGGTGCCACACCAACGTTCGGCCGGCGGCTGCGGCGGTGTCGGTGGTGCGAATCCGCTCGGTACCCGCCAAGATTCCGCGCGGTCGCCTAAAGCATATTCAAACAGACGCGTAACCGGTACTCGGGGGGTCCTCGGCCTTAAGTGGAAATATTTTAACGAACCGTTGTAGTGTAATAGTCGGGTACTTTTTTTTTTTATTGTGTACAGACAGTTGAAAATTCTTGAAGTCGGTTACAATTACGGATTTATCGTTTTTAGCGGCGATTTCAATTAATGCCCAGTCGACGACGTTAAAAACGTTGGAAATAATCGAGAATAACGAACATCGTGCAAAGTAAACGCGAGTATAAGTAACACCAAAATCTATATCGCGCTAAAAATAATTTCAATTTGCGAATTTAACGAAACCGTCCCGGGACGCGCGGTAACTCAATCTGCTGCGGTCGTATGTATACGGATCGCGGCCGTTATTTTTTTTCTGTAAAATTTACGTTGCAATTTTATTAAAACTGCGCGGATATCCGATGTCGCTCGATGATCGGAGGGAATCCGCGATCGTAAGCATAGAGCCGCAGGTACCTGTACCTGTAGTCGGGCGGCGAGTTCCGCAAGACGTTTCCGCGTTCTCTCCGGCAACGCCAAACGTACCGGCGTGGGACGAGCGGATTACCGGACCGACACCGGCCAGTACCGCCGATTCGAATAATATTCGTTTTTAATCGGATACAAAACGGCGGCATAATACCCGCGCGCGATATTTTATTCAATGCCGGGGGGGGAGCACAGAGGGGGAGTAGGGGGTGTCGGATAATCGCGGGCGATCGACCGTTTAACTCGCGGGACACACGCTTTACGTAGGTACGATTTGTAACACGACGATCGCCTGACCGCGGGGCAGTAATGGTTTTCGTCGCGGTTTTACGGAAACGCGCTCGGCAAAAATTACGCATCGTGGCGATCGTGTTTTCCCCGAAACCGTCGTGTTCGCCGCGGCGATAATGCCGACGGGTACCCCGGGAATTTGTGACGACAATGCGCGGGGGGCCGTGATAACATTGCCGTTATCATTATTATTATCATCATTATTATTATTATTATTATTATTATTATTATTATTATTATTATTATCATTATTTTTATTATTATAATTATTATTATTATTATTATAATACTCACGGCGGGTGAATCGTCTCGCTGTTGCGGCCGTGGTACGCCGCCGGTACCGATGACGGGAACGCGTACTACTGCTGGAGCCGGACTCGCGACTAGTCGGTTGTACCAAAAGTCATTCCGTCACAGACTCCGAGAGCGGTGTGTGCGGTTTTGGCGGCGCATCGCGTTTTACCACCCCGCGGGATGCGCCGCCGGCGGCGGCGGTGGCGGCGGCGGCCGACGGGACACGGTCGTCGTCGTCGTCGTCGTCGCCGTCGCCGTCGCCGCCGCCGCCGTCGGCACGGGACGATCGCACGCAGACGCAACCCTTTTTCTCTCTGCGTCCGCCCGTCGGCCCGCGACCGAAACCGCACCGCTGTCAGCCCCCTAGGTATGCGCCCGCATAGGTAAGCGCGCACGTAAATTAATTCTCTTCCGTCGCGGCACAATTATTGTGCCCACCCTATAGGTATGCGCCGACTAGCCGACGACCAGCTCAAAGTCCCCCCGGTACAATCGGACAATCGGATTTAAACGATCCGAAGCTAGAAGATTGTGGGGTTTTTTTTTTGTAAATTTCGGACATTTTGTCTATCCTCTCCATCTGCCGTGTAGTGGGGGTGAAATAATATGCGATTTTAAAAAATAAACCCCCTCCCGAGATATCGAGTGTTTAAAATCTAAATATGATACATACTGGTATCACAAACGTTAAATTATCTATGGTAAAGACTTCTGAATTTTTTAATTCCTATGGTTGTTTTTTAGATTCCGAGCGTAGCGAGGGATCTATTTTGATTTTTCTAAGATGTTAATTTTCTTCTTCTTCTTCTTCTTTTTGTGATTACGTTTTTTTCTAGTAAACTCGCTCCGAATATCATTACGCGTACAAACAACGCAAAGCTTTGATGGTTTCTGGCACTCAATATTCGACAGAGTAAAACGAAGACCCTGCACTCTTCTAAATGGTCGGACACGTAAAAAAAATTTTCGAACAAGCGGACGGATTATGTTTGGCGTTCAAGCCGTCGATAATGTATATTGCTGAATTCTCCGCATGTGCCGATGCTCCGCAGAAGGTTGCGGGTGCTCGCAGTGTCAGGGCCGTTTTTTGAGGGTCAGGTTTTAAAACAGCGGGTTGTTCCGATAGCTGAAGGTCTCGCTTGAAACCGTCTTCAGACATTCCGAGAGGGGCGAACGCTATTTAAACGAAACGCGGTTTTTTTTTTTTTCGTTTTTCTTAAAATGTTTTTCGCGGTTATTGAAAACGCTCCGAACTCTATTCGCGTGGTTAGTTGAAAATATGCGAATTTTCCGCGCTACGCATCCTGCACTTATTATATTCGATCGATCCGTCTATGTATCTCCCGCGGTTTTTTCAGATGTTTCGCGTACACATTACAAATATTTTTATTTATTTTTTTTCCCAGTCAGGTTATTATAATATCGATTTTCCGCGTATCCCGGATAAGATTAAATACACGAATAACGTGTCCGTCGAGATATTTTATCCGGACACAAGCGTTAATAAAAACACGCACAACACTGTCCGCGTAAGCACGTACGTACGTATGTAAGTATGCCAAGTTCGGTGAATTCGGACGGCGTGTCGTGTGACAGATACGACGACTATACGCAGGATTTTCTGTACCGACACGCCATAAGACTACAATAGCAACAGTACCACCGCGACAATTATTCTACCCGGGGGAAAACGATTTTGAAAAAAAACAAAGAAATACCGTGTCTCTCGTTGTTGGCGAAAAAAATAAAATAAAATATTTACGAAAGAGAGGGAGACAGTGTGAGAGAGTGAGAGACGGAGGGAGCGCACGCACGGTAAACAAACCGCGATTATTTATAGACGACATTGGAAAACGCGCCTCCCCTCCCCGGCACGAAAATATGAAAGTTTAATTTTCGATATACGGGCCGCGTAACGAATTCTCCGTGTACCGGGAAAGTGGGAAATCGTCGCGAAAAAAAAAAATCGCATTTTGCATCCGAATCGAGGCCATCCTGTAGTGTGTATATTTATTTACATATATACATGCAGTTAAATCCGTTTTCCCCGTGTACTCGCGCGCGGTGGATTTACGCGGTGTTTTTTTCTCTCGTTAGTACTCCGTCTGCGGTTTTATTTTTTTTTTCCGACCCGGTCTTTTTTTCTCCGTTTTATATTATTTTTTTACTTTTTTTTTTCTTTCTCTACGTCGTTTGCACATATTACATTTACACGTAATAGAACGACGGGAGGAGGGGGGAAGGGAGGCCCCGGCGGCGACGTTTGATCGTAACCGCATACACCTGCAGCGCGTATGCCAAAAAATAATAAAAAAAAAAAAAGCACTCGTACGGTCCCGGAAAAACAAATTGTTATTATTACGTATTATTATCGATCGACCGGAATATCGCGTAGGTATCCGCGTAGCGACGGGACGTCCGTTCGGCGGTTTTTTTTTTTTTATTATTATTCCCTTCCCCTCCCCCCACTCGTTCTTTCCCCTCGCACCGATAATTGTATTATCCGTAACCCCGGTGTCCGATGTACTACTATTCTCGCGAGATTTACGAATTTTTTACACGCAAGACCTGATTGACTGATACGAGCCGAACAGAGCCCAGGGCGTCGATCGGTCAACGTTAAATATGGTTTAGGGGAAGGGATGGTGGAAGGCGCCACAAGACGATTTACTACGCGAACCGACTACCGCGGTCGGTAAGCATCCACGACAGCGCTAGGGTTAGTTTTTTGTTGTTTTGTATTGGGGCCGTTTTTGCCGATTTATACGGGGAGGGTCAACCGTAACGAATATTCGGCCATGAACTGCGAGAAAAAATACACCGCCCCAGCCTACAGCATACCTTGTGAGGGGTCGGGGAGGGCAAATCCATTAATCGGGCCTCGTGTATCAGCGTCCGATCTGATAGCGTTGTTTTTCCCTCGTGCTATACGCGCGAAACGTGCGCATATCTACTCGGCATTATAATATCAAAGTGAACGCGATTTTCTCGTTTTCGAAATTTACATGCAATTTATTTGAATTGAATATATTTTTAAAAAAAAGCAATAGTTGTTTTTACATAAAAACGTATCGAATCTTACAATTTCAGAAATCCAAAATTATCTGTGAAAAATATCTTGACCAAATTCCTCGTAAATTTACAGTTTTCCGAAAAAATCGATAAAATACTTAACAAAGTGTTTTTATATTTCATTTTGTTTTTTTAAACTTACGAGACAATTCGGCAGACATTATTACATAGATAATTGTATATTTTACGTAGGTATACTTTTGTGTAAAAGTATGTATAGTAAATTCGACAACAATTATCAAGTACCAATTACATATGAAATACTTCATCTTTTTCTTAATTTATTTTTTTTTTTTTTTTGAAGGCAATACCAGATTCTTCATGGTAGTATGTGAATACCCGCTGCGTCAAGCCATTTTAATCGCTTCCCCCTTGAATGTTTTCCACGGTATACCTCTTACTTTGCGTCTAACGGTACTGCCTTTCATTATGCCAGTTATTGCGTAGTTTTGTCTCATTTAGCATCCAATAAGTTTCTCGATCCCGATCTGATGGTACACAACAATAGTTTCTTTTCCCCGATATATTACCTACATAGAATTTCTATGTATGGCTCTCCGTTTCAGTCCAACTAATACGAAGTAATCTTTTCCAAGACCACATTTTCATTATTTTTAGGTTTTCCGTGAAATCGTATCATAGCCCAGAACAACAATAACAGTTGGCATTGTTCCGAAATGATATTGCGATAAAAAAAATAAAGTCTATAAAAAAAAAAACAAACACGCTGTAAACGGATTTCAGTTACTGGTAAGTTACTGGCCGGTGAGTTTTTATACGAAACAATTAATAATATTACGGTCTGTATAATAGATGAGCGATTTTCGAAATTAATAATGACGCCACGATGACTTATTCATCGAAAACCCGACTTATAATTAACCCGGTCTTAAAGTCGTTTAAAAACAAGTGTATTTTTTAAACACTTTTGTTTTTTTTAATTTATTCCTAAAGAAAGTTTCTTTTTCTCCCGTTGAACGATAATTGAACAATATTTAACTTGTAAGAATTATACAAACGAAAACGATTAATATTATTGTTTGTCTCCCAAAGTTTTTTGCCCTCTGCACGAAACGTCGTAATTATATAGTCTCTATATATTATAATTCCGTAAAACCTTATGAATTTAGGGTTATATTATGTTATATTAAAACGCATTCCCCGAGAAAAAGCATTATAATAATTTCCGAAAACTCACTATACCGTACATACGAATTAAAACTCGCAACGTTTTTGTTTATGAACCGGACAGTGAAAACGCGCAAAATAATATTGGTAGATTTAACACAAAAAAAAAAAAAAAAAAAGAATCAACTGGGTTTAATCTTGAAGTAAAATATTTTAATTTCATATTTCCTACCTTCTCCATTAAATTATACTGTCTCTCCGTGTATATCAACACCCCCCCTATCCGTGCAATTTTACACGAACTATTTACCTCGTTTCTTACAATGACCAAATGTAATAATATTATAATAACGACTGTCTGAACCAGTCTGTTCAGTGTTTTCAAATAACACGAACAAAGGTAAATAAAATAAATTTTTTTTTTATTTTTCATCAACTCCGTTGGCATTAGTTCCTATCAACTTGTGTTTTGTGCTATAGTAATATAGCGGAAACAGTAAAGTCGAAAACAGTAGTTTATTAATGATTCACTTAGAGTGGTCAAATAAATTGGCCCGGATCCAGCAAACATCGGTCGCGTCTTTCAATTTATTAGACGTAGATCAGATATTTTGATGACATGACTTCGTGTTTACGCACTGCGTTCATTTTAAATCGCGTTTTGATCATAGATGAGCAGTAATACTAGTTAAAAAGTTCAAAATTAATTTTTTGATAACATTTAAAATTGATTAGCTTAAAAAAATAAAAATAAAATATTATAAAATAACTTATTTATTTTAATAAATAATTTTGACTTACAAATAAACAAATTAATTTATTGACCAAAATTAATATTAACAAATGGATATAATTCGTATAAAGGAAATTGAATGCATTTATGTACGTAGACATTAGTCATCGCTAACGAAAAATAATTGTGAACTTCGGTTAAACCTGTTTTGAAAGTCAGTAATATTAACGATTTGAAAATAATACATTCCGTAAATTTTCCTGCTTTTCTTGTGTATTTTAACAATTTTCCACATTTATTATGAAAACCATCCGTAAAACCAAAAAAAAATTCCTTGAAGTACCACCCTAGTCAGATTTCTTTTCAAAAAGAGTGTTACACTTAAAAATCGGGGCAAAATTTCTGGTAGAAAAGTTGTTCACAAAAAAAAAAAT